GAAGTGTCCGAATGTATTTCTCTACTCAAGCGTCGTCGTGCTGCTGGTCCTGACGACCTTCCACCTGCTCTCTTCAAGGATGGCGGTGGATTCCTCAGTCAGTGCCTGTCTAGCCTATTTGGGTTATCTGGGAGAAAGCTTGACGCCTGTTGTGACAAGACTTCTGATGTCAGTGATACTTCGTCGTTTCATGGCGGCACGCGAAGTCTTGACTCGTGAGAATCAAACAGGATTCCAACCGGGTAGAGGCTGCGTTGACCACATCTTCACACTCCGTCAGGTGTTAGAGCAACGCCACATGTACAGACGACCCACAATCCTGGTATTCCTTGACTTCAAGGGTGCGTTCGATTCTGTTGATCGATCAGTTCTGTTTACTACACTTGCTCAACAGGGTATGCCCCAGATGTTTGTAAACATAAGCCGATCTCTATACTCACATACTTCCGGGCGGGTGAGGGTGTATGGTGAGCTCTCCATAAGCTTTCCCACAAAAAGTGGTGTCAGACAAGGATGTCCACTCTCCCCATTCTTGTTCAACTTCATCATCGATGAAATAATGAGGCGAACACTGGACGGTTTTCAAAACCCCGGTGTTCAAATTGTTGCTGGCGAGAGCCTTGTCGATCTGGAGTACGCAGATGACATCGCCCTCATCTTTGAAGACCATAGCGAAGCACAAACCCCGTTGAATAAACTGACCGCCATCATACCATCATTTGGCATGCGTCTTGCACCTTCTAAGTGCAAAGTCCTGCTTCAGAACGTGTCATCTGCGTACATATCCCTTATAAATCAAAGAGAACCACTGGAGATTGTGGAAAACTTTACTTACCTCGGTAGTTGTATTAGCTCTGACGGAAGTGTGTCTGATGAAGTCAGTGCAAGAATCTCAAAGGCTCGAATCACGTTTGCCAATTTGCGTCACTTGTGGCGTCAAAAAGGCATCTCACTGGATCTTAAGGGTCGTGTGTACCAGACTACAGTAAGGGCTGTGTTGTTGTATGGGTGCGAGACATGGCCACTTCGGGTAGGTGATGTGAGGCGTCTTCACGTTATCGACCACGGATGCCCCAGAAGTGTGACCGGTTTTGGATGGCGTCAGCGTATTAGTAACGAGGTGATTAGAAAACGGGTATTTGGTTGTGCTGCAGGCACCTCAATCCGGGAAAACATCCAGCATCATCGACTACGATGGCTCGGTCATGTGGTACGCATGCCGAAACACCGTCTACCGAGATGAGTGTTGTTCTCCGTGCCTCCTTCAGGATGGCGCAAACCGCGAGGTGTACAGCACATGACTTGGCAGAAAGGCGTGAAAGAGACCCACTCAACCCTGCACTGACGATGTCACCTCGATTGGTGATGAAACGTTTGCAATCCAACTGCCAAGCTCGGCGAACAGACCAACAACCAAAGAGCACACCCGAGCTACCTACATTCCACAACATTGCTAAGATCACGAAGAGTTTGGGTGTTGTTGGTATTGTACGCCTTCCAGGATGGGGTCCCTGTGACCCGTCTGTGTGGGGCTGAAAACGTTGCAAGAAATGGCGGCTAATAGATGTCAGTGGCGTTCGTCCTGTCAGTTTCTCTCCAGGTTGTCTCTCTTTATTGTCCTCTTTATTCAAGGTGGTCCCTCTATCCTGATCCCTGATGGTTTCGCTTACAGGTAGTTTCCGCGGGCAAGTCACACGGATCAACTGTAATAGTCTTTGAGTATCACCGGATTCCTGGGCCGCTTCCATTTCCTTTGCCTCCGAGTCTACTAGACTTCATCGTCGGCTCGCACGCTCATTTTTACTTGGCACCTTATAGTTCATCGGGCCAAGTTATGTCCGGGACCGGATGAGCTGAGTTCCTGTCAGGATGTCCAAACCTAAGCGGGAGTGGTCGAGATGCCGCATTCGGATTTGAACAACGAAACTCTCGGTCAATAATTTCGTGCATTAACCACTCAACTATCCCGAGCTCAGATACATTCTACTTAGGGACGTTTTTGCAGCCGCAGGATCGTCAAACAACAGAAC